CAACATATTGAGGTGGATTTACGGGTTCTTTTCTGTCCTAGTGCTTATTTAGAAGTTAAGAAAGAAGATAAAAAAAAATTTTTTTCTTTGAGAAACGTTAAAAGGGATAATCACAGCCACTTTATTTGCTCACGTGCAGTGATCTGCAAATCGGGCGTTACTTTTGTTGGCTACTGTACGTACTGTACGTACGTATGTATGGAAAATCCCAAAACTTCTATCACTTTAGGTAATTTTTAGGGAGGGTTGAACATGTATTATATCAATATCTTACGTTACACGTAGATATATAGTAATACTATATCTATGTGTAATGTAAGATATATTGATTATAATACATGTTCAACCCTAAAAATTACTACAGCACCCTAAAGTGATAGAAGTTTTTGAATTTTCCGCACCACACATACGTACGTACGTATATACGCGATCAACAATTCATATATCAACAATATATCAATGTGATCGGCTGGCTAATGCGGCTTAAGATCGCATGACTTTAAATAGTATAATTTAGGTCGGAGTGATAATATGATAACGCTGGAATTAAAGCAATAATAAGGGGCACAAGGTTCCGAAAATTTCTGGAAAGAAAATGAACGAACGTAAAAGACGAGCAAGGTTGAGAGAAAAATTTGTGTAAATCTCCAAAATTTTCCAAAGATAAATAAATTGGGTTTGCAGCCATTAGCTATCCGCTTAGTCAATTTTTTTATCACAGCCGATTATGGCTTATAACACTAGTATAATTAGATGTTTTTTTTAATTGGCCAATCATATTGGATCTTATGTGGGGGAGGAGGGAACCCTCATAGTAAATGGATATTACGTAAAAGTTATATGTCACAGCTCTTATATAGGCTAAATTCACTAAAGGCATATTTTAAGTCATTATTCTTGGCATATTATTTTTATGCAAGAGATTGGGAATCCTAGATCCTCATATTTATTGAAATTACTAATTAAAGAAAATTGCTTTCAATGTGCCGCCAGTTTATGCATTATCTCTATATAGGAGATTGAGGTTTTTTAATTTCCCACATACGTACGTACGTACATCTAATAATTGTCGAATGATTATTGGTTTAATTTATTTTACAAGTGCTGTTATAGATTATATATTTTTATTTTACTCTATCTATCATATGCATTTACTGGTCTTCTTGTAAGTTTTTATTCAAACTCTTTGAAATCACATTAATAACAATAACAATAAAATTATTATTTTATTAACTTAATCCAGGCATATGGAATACTTCGAATAAAAGGGGCTATATTAAAAAGTTTTCAAATAATGTTTTACTCGAAGATGTTCCAACTATTATTCTTGCCGCAATTGTTGCTGTATGCGGCCCTGGTAATTCTCATTTCCTCACACATATAGGACGTATTTTTACTATTGAACGCTTAGACCAGGGGTAGAAAGATTATAGTGTTATAAAATCTCAGGTTAAAAGCGCGTTCTTAGATCCAAAAGTCTATCTATGTTTGTATATTAATTGTAGCTGCTAATAGAGCTATTACCCGGGGACCCGTACGGGTCACGGGTCGAAAATTGCTCTAACCCGGGTCAAACGGGTCAGAATTTAAAATAGGCAATAAAACACTATATTACATAATTTACCAGTGTTGGCCTTTGATCTTAATGACCTAAATGACCTTTATGCCTGTCATAGGTCATTCGGTCATATATACTGAAGATTGATATGACTTATGTCCTTTTAAATATAATAAGAATCATAGTAAAAGTTTTTTATTAGCATTTAATAGTGTTGGCCGATGACCTAAGTCATAGCGTTTTTTTTCTATATGACCTTGGTCATATAATCATATGACTTTTGGTCATAGTCATATCGGTCATATTAAATGCTAATAAAAAAAAATTTTTACTATGATTCTTATTATATTAAAAAAGGTCATAAGTCATATCATTCTTCAGTATGACCGAATAACCTATGACAGGTCATAAAGATCATATAGGTCATTAAGATCATAGGCCAACACTTTTAATATAACGATATGATTATCATATGGTTATATGACCAAGGTCATGTAGAAAAAAAATGCTATGACTTAGGTCATCGGCCAACACTGTAATTTACTATATAGGCAGAAGACATTATAGCTAAATAGTAAAGTTCTTACTCGGGTCGTCTAATCACGAGCAAGATCGAAAAATTTTTTCAATTCAAAATTCGAAAAATTCCAATTTAAATAATTGGAGTACAGTTGTTCTCTATACTAACAGCTCTAATTAAGAATCGTTGCATCAACTTTTAAGAATTAACTTCAAAAACTTTATTAATTTCCGTTTGATCCGTTGACCTGGGTTATAACCCGGGTCAATACCCTGACCCGTCCAGGTCGGTATTTTCTGACCCGGGTAAGAGCTCTAGCTGCTAGTTCAATCCCAAATAACGTTTTTGATTATTTCCTTCCAACTTTAGTGAAACGACTTGGATATAATTCTGTAGATGCTAATTTACCACCATATGCAATAGCAACTGTTGTAATTCTCATTTTTTCTAGGTTAGCAGATAAATTTTGAGAAATGCCTATATTGATTGAAGATTCCATTGCTATTATAGAAATTACAGGATTGATACAGTAGTAACATCTGCTGCTAATTCGAGTTCATATACACTACGTTATTTTTTGTATCAGTTGGTGTATATGCTGCGTCACCAATAGTTTATAGTTGGCCTACTGGTGATATCAGTTAGTATCCTTAAATGACTATAAAAAATTAATTAAAACTTCTAATCTTACTATATCTTTAATTCCAAATTAATTGGTCAAATATAACAACTGCTGCAGCTTTACCGTCACTAATATTGGAAGGTCATCGGAATCCTACTTATCCAACTAAGCTTTGCTCCTTCATTTTATGTTGGGATATAAGTATGTTTAAGCTTGAAAGTCATTCAATTTGCTGTAGTTCTTTTATTTAAATTTTATTTGGCTTATGAAAATAAAAGGTATGATTTGACTACATTATCCAGTAATACTGTAATATTCAGCTAAGTAAAAGTGAATTAAAAGATGCAAAGTTGATTAGAGAAGGCTGCAAAAAATTTGTGGAAGATGAACCGATCTACATCCTAATTGGAGGTATATTATCTAAAAATCTATTGCTGTATTACTTTATAATAGTGTATGATTTCTTTCTTTGGTTGATTGAATATTTAAATCCAAATATTAAATCTTCAATCAAGCTAGTTTTATAAGTATTGCGATCCGTACTAAAAATGTCAAGATTATATGTAGCACAGCAATATTCTAAAAAGATTGTAACAATACGTAAGTGATGTACTTTGTTCAACTAAAATCCAAAACTTTATCAACAGTAAATCCTCTTTTGCCTTTATATCATAAAAACATTGCTTGTGTTTTTTGAATACGTAGAATTAGTTTATTTTGGAATTCTACATTACACTGTGGAAACCTAATTCTTAAAAGGTTAATTGCTTTTTATTTTTAAATCTTAAGTATCCCTTCTTTTCCTGAAATGTGACACTAAAAAAACATTTTGAAATTTTTATATACAGATGTTTTATCAAAAGATCATATTATTATTATTGACTACATAAAAATGAGTTTTTTTGTTCTAAATAAAGACTAAGGCCCTTTATAACACTTTTTAAATTACTGTGACCAGCAAATTTCTGAGAATTGGAAATTATAAATATAGGACGTTTTACCCGACATCACATATTAGTAAATTGTTACCCTGTATGAAGTCGGGTAAATGGAATGACTCGGATAAATGAGACGTAACCCTTCAAAATTAATAAAATTATACAACCCTAATTTCATATAATTTGGTTATGTGAATAACTCTGGCCAAACAGATAACAATTATCGGTCAAACTTTTATAGCGTTGGTATAGTAATCATGTGTCGAAACCAGTGATTATTTTTTACTGTGCGGACTGCGCTTTTTTTTTTTTTTTTGAATAAATGTGCGGATGCCGCACAGAAAAAATTGATATCTATATAACTAGTAAGTAGTGCGCACAGCTGCAAGCAGTTTCTTTTATCTACTGCACAAAAAAAGTTTATAAACTGCGTTATCCACACAGTAAAAATTAACACTGGTCGAAACACAATTATAAAGCATATTAAATAAAATAGATGCTTGGATATCTACTCCATAAAGAATGTTCTTTATATATAAAAGTTTTTACGAGTTTGTTCTCAAAGAGTTATTATATTGTTAATCCATATTTTATAATAAATTTTATAAATGTTCTAAAGTTTTTGTTAGTCCAGAGAATTTAATAAAGTTTATATTAGAGAGGTAATTGTACTACCTGAAGTTCTTCTGCAATCACTACTTAGCAGAAACTTGAATTTTTGCCATTTATAATTTTCATTTGATAGTTATATAACTATTATATGGTAAAAATATTTTAATAATAAAATATAATAAATATATGATAAACATATATTAAAAGTATTATTATAATACTTTAAACATATTTTTGTAATTCTGTT